CCTCCTGCAACCTGCTGTTCACTTTATCTCTAGAAGATGTGCATAGCCAATGTCTTGACCTCTGCCCTGAAACTAGAAGAGCATGTGTTTTTCTGGCCAGGATGTTTCTAGCTACACTCACCCTGAATCCTGTTCTTCCACAGGAAGATGCAGGCTTGTCTGACTCGATGTCAACAGAAGTGTCTACCACTCTCCCTCATGGTTACTGGCCATTATTGCTGTTAGGTGCCTATGCCATGTGCCAATGTCTCTCGCACCTTGTCCTCCCCTGTGCCCACTCACAGGTTCTCCCTCACCTTCTTGCCCTCATCCCGCTAGGCCCAAACCCCTGGGTGTCCAGAACACTGCAGGTCTGCACAGAATTCTGCCAACAGCATTTCAGTTTCTTGAGTTGAGCAGCTTCTTTTTGCAAGTGTTCTTTTCAGGAAACCACAGATGGGAAGTGTAAATGCTTATTCAGAGAAAGTCCAGAAAAGAAGTAGGAGAAAATGCCCTATTTATTTGAGAAAAAAAAAAAAAAAAAGGTTTACAACTTTCCAAGTACAAAGGAGAAATGAGATTTTAGGAATTTAGAAAACAACTGCAAAGTTCCCTGGAAGAACTAATGTGCACAACAAAAGGATATTTTAGGAACACCTGGACTAGATTAGGCACTCAATAAATATTTGAGTTCAGAATTTTGCAAGTTCTTAGAAAAGTATTCTAAGTAGAACTTTATCTGTTAATGGCTTTCTCCTATATTAAATTTGTGGAACAATTTTTTGTGCTTGTCGAGATTGAAACGAGTAAATATTGCTAAGAGGGTGACTGTAAATAAAAATAGTGTCTGTATTGCAATATAGTATAGGTTAGCTTCAGGGTGCTATAACAAATGAATTCTCAAAACAGAATTATGAGATATGAAGTCATCACGAAGACTGAGCTGAAAACCATATATGCAGTGTACCCACAAATCTTAAGAAAATACAGTACTAGATGCAGAAAAAAACTTTTGACAAGGTCCAACATGCATTTATGATAAAAACTCTACACAAAATAGGAATAGATGGCCTCTACC